GGGGTTTGGGGTTTAGGGTTTGGGGTTTGGGGTTTAGGGGTTGGGGTTTAGGGTTTAGGGTTTAGGGTTTAGGGTTTAGGGTTTAGGGTTTAGGGTTTAGGGTGAACCTCCCCGCGTGAAGAGGCATGCTCGGAGATGTCAGTCATCATGCCTGGGGGGAGACATACGTTACCCACCAACCCTCACAGATCGAGCAAACCATCAATTTTTGGAGCCATTTTCATCTTGCATGACGCCGAAATCCGGCTTCAACGGCTCCAATTCCCCTTGAAATCGGAACATCGAAAATCGACGATTTGCTCAAGGGGTACCTCGCTCATAAGAAACTGCCTCCTCCTAGGACCCTACAGTAGGGCGATGCCTAAGGCATCATGCCTGCGACCAGCCCTCACAGTAAGCTCAAATCACCTCTATCCTTCTATTTTTGACAGGGGGGGGACAGTCGGTTAGGCGTCACGGCGGACGTGATGCGAGAGAGAGAGCGAGCGAGAGTGAGAGAGAGAGTGAGCGAGAGAGAGTGAGAGAGAGAGCGAGCGAGAGAGAGAGAGAGAGAGCGAGCGAGAGTGAGAGAGAGCGAGCGCGAGAGAGAGAGCGAGAGAGAGAGAGAGCGAGAGAGAGAGAGCGAGAGAGTGAGCGAGAGCGAGAGAGAGTGAGCGAGAGAGAGAGAGCGAGCGAGATAGAGAGAGCGACAGAGAGAGAGAGAGAAAGAAAGAGTCACGACGGTCGTGATGCTGTGTTCATTGTCGAAGTGTGGAATGCTGTGTGTGAAACGGTGTGTTCTAGTGTGTTTGTCTGATACGACGCCATAATCCTATACATCATGTTGTGCGATGACCGTTACGTTGTGCGAGGAAGGATTTATAACGCAAACCCACAACGTCAACTTGAGAATAGTCGGTGAACCCGAGTGAGGCAGAGCTAGGAAGACGCTTCGCAAGAAATCAGAAGGGAGGCTCACTCTGGGTCGAACCCCCCAGCCCAAACAGCCTCCGTGTCATCAGAACGCCCCCTCCCCCCCCCCCGGTGGTCGGGCTCGCCTGCAAAAAGTGAGAGCGTGAGAGTGTGTGAGCGAGAGAGAGAGAGAGTGTGTGTGAGAGAGTGAGAGATAGCGAGTGAGAGAGAGCGTACGAGAGAGAGACAGTGTGTGAGAGAGTGCGAGAGCGAGCGAGCGAGCGAGCGAGAGAGCGAGTGTGTGTGTGTGTGAGTGAGTGCGAGAGCGAGCGAGGGAGAGAGAGAGTGCGAGCGA